TTGTATATACTTCAAGGTGTGTGCTCTGTACTTAAATATTTAACCATTTTTTATTTTCCCTCTTTTTCTAGCAACTCTTGGATGATCCCCTGTATGTTGGGCTGCGTCACAAACGAGTCACAGGTGCTGCTTATGATGACTTCATCGATGAATTTATGCAAGCTGTCGTCAAAAGATACGGACAGAACACTCTAATTCAGGTTGGAGGAGGCATGTCCATTGACACTGTTGTTCAGGAATGATCATTCATGGAATGCAAATTTGCAAGTAACATGCACATAACCATGTTATATTTGCCTTGATTTCCTTATAGTTTGAAGACTTTGGAAATCACAATGCCTTCCGTTTCCTGGATAAGTACCGAGACCGGTATTGCACATTCAATGATGACATCCAGGGAACTGCATCAGTAGCTGTTGCTGGTCTCTTGTCATCTCGCCGTATCACGAACAATCACTTGTCTGACAACAAGTTCCTGTTTCTGGGAGCAGGAGAAGCAGCAATAGGAATTGCAGACCTGACAGTAAAAGCAATGCAAGCAGAGGGAACATCTTTACAGGATGCCCGGGACAAGATATGGATGGTGGACATTGATGGACTACTGGCTAAAAACAGGCCGGAAGGCAGACTTGAAGGTGTGACGATATCCCTTCATCTGAAGTAAGTCTTAAGTTTGTTTAACTTACCACATAAAATGATAATCTGTCTTTCTGGTTTACCAGGTCACAAAATGTTCTATGCGAAAGACCATGCTGTTGTGAAGAATCTTAGAGAAGTTGTAAGTGAAATAAAGCCATCGGTTTTGATTGGTTAGTATTATATCTGTAAATGCCTTACTGCCTTAACTTATTAGTGTAAATTGTTGGTATAATGAATGTCTAAATTAATTTGTTATGCTAAAGAAATATTTAAATGCCTGCTTTTTATGGACAGAGTCAATATAATTGAGTAGTATATAGTAAATGTTCATATCCCATCTCTTGACTGACTAATTTACCACTTTTGCAAGTATTTATTCCAGTGATTTTATATTAGTACTTCTGTATGTCTTCAGGAGCATCTGCTGCAGGAGGTTCATTCACACCGGAGATCCTCCGTGATATGGCATCCTTCAATGAACATCCTGTCATCTTTGCTCTTAGTAACCCAACTAGTAAAGCAGAATGTACATCAGAACAGGCTTATGTAAATACTAGTGTAAGTGATTGACATGATGAATTATTCTCAGGCTACCAGTTGTGTCTGGTGGTTGAATGGAGAAAACACCAACATTTCAAGAATCATCTTCATCCACGTCCTCAGGGTACTGAAATTGAGGATGAGGACGAAAATGGTTCTCAAATCGTTTGTGTTTTTTCCGTTCAACCGCCTGACATGGCTGGTAGCCCAAGAAGATTTCATTGTACTTTGTTGATGTGAAAACTTCAGATCATAAATGCTTCACATGTATTAATTAGTATATCAGTTTCTTAATGACTAACCAACTGCACTCACTGTATGGAAGCCTGGCATGGCAGTAATTGGATTGTAAATTGTGTATGTAGTGTGGCTTGTTAGTACAGTTGCTCGGAACAAAACTGATGTAATTCGCAAATTTTAGAAGTACGTGGCAAGGGAATCAAAGAGGCAGTAGGCTTTAGAAGCAAGGAAGCATATACTGTCCAAACTATAAATGTTATTTCCCAGTGGCTGTACTCTGCCACTTACTGTTCAAGTTTGAATGTACATATGTTATGAAACACATTATATGAACCTAAAAGCGCAGTAGAATAAAGCATGTGTTAATGCACAATGTAGCCACAAATCATGAATGTGCTGTAAATTTCAAGTATCTGGGTTATTGCATACACACATAGTTGCCTTAGTTGAATGAATTGGGTGTTTACATGGCTGTAGAGATACATTTATTTTGGTACGCTAATGTTTATGTCAGGATTAAACTAAAATGAAATGAACTCTAGCATAACTATTAACTCTAAATGTAAGAGCAAGTAGGTTTAAAGGTAGTTTGGAACAGATGGAGACATGCTGGTGTTTACATAAAAGTCAATGTGGTGTCATAACCCAGATCATCATCATTATTGACTAGTTCAGAGCTTGAGATATGTGGCCACAAAATAAAGCAGCATTTTTATGTTTTTGTGTTACAGGGAAGATGCATTTTTGCTAGTGGGTCTCCATTTCCTCCTGTCACACTTAATGGTAAAACATTTTATCCTGGGCAAGGAAATAATGCGTACATCTTTCCTGGTATTGCTCTTGGAGTCATCTGCACTGGTATTCACCATATTAAGGAAGAATTGTTCCTTATTGCTGCACAGGTATGCGCTTTTCATAATCTGTTGATATAATATTTAGAGTGTTATAGATATCTGTACAAATTTCATTCAGAGATTTCAAAATATGTGCCAAACTTCAGTACAGTTTTTTTTTACACATTATGTGACACAGAAATAAGTGTTTTGTTCCTAAGTTTTTTTGGTAACACAGAAGACAATTAGCTGATCCTTTTCTCTTTGAGGCATTGAACTGTGTTACTTCATTTAGCCTTTCTTCAGAATGGTTATTGGATTGCGTACCCTGATGTTTTGTGACAATACCATTTCATGTACAAGGGACTTGACCAGTCTGAAATCTCGCTGGTCTTCTCAGGTGATCAGTCATGTGAGAATGTGTCATTATCATCCAACATTCTCTGCCTCCATCATCAGGGATACAGCACCATTCTCACATGGCTTAACACCCAAGAAGATCTTCTTGCATTCAGTCATGGTGAAAGCTTTGAATCTTAACTCATTGAAATTTGTTGTGGCTCATTTATTTCTTGCCTGTGTCTACATGGAGTAGATAGAAGTTGATTTTCAGCACCCAGAAGAATAGTTTTTGGTGTGGCTAACTAGTTCTTCATATACATTAGTAATAACTAATGTAATGGTCTATTTTGTCAAAAGCTCCTATATGGCCTTTGGGTTAGAGCTGTGTCAAATGTTTTGTGTTAACCAGCATTTTGGAAAAACATTGCAGTTGCCATTTTCAAGGTAGGTAAGAGGTGGTCTCAGAAGACCATCACCTCTCCAAACCTCCTGGTTAATGAACAACCACCACTCCCTTCCACCTAACTGCTGCAAATCCTTTACCAACCAATGTGGTTACCAGAACATACTCATCACCTGTTACCAATATTCCTGTTATCTCCTTTCCTCAATCACATGCTCCTCTCCCATTGGATAGCAGCCTACTCCTCAGCTCCACCAATCAGCACCATCTAATTTATCTTGCCATCTACTGCCTGCCCTGTGTAAGGCCTTCTGAATTAACCCCACCACATACCCACCTCGAAAATGACAACAAAATGTCGGTATATTTGTTGTAGTTGTATCCCAAAAGCCGAAGTTATTCGTTGCATTTGAGCCATAAAAACCTACAGACAAGTAGAGAAACTTTGATGGTTGTGGTCTCTTTTGTTCTTTAGACTCTTTCCGATCATGTGGATGAAGGAGACATTAAAAAAGGCAGCCTCTATCCTCCTTTGGGAATGATAAGGGAGTGCTCAATCAAGATTGCAACACGCATTGCACAGTATGCCTATGAGAAAGGTATAATGCATTATTTTTTTCTATCCCTCTGTGGTCCATGGCCTCCTCAATTCTCCTCTTCCATTCGGTCCTCTGTTAGGTCCGTCTGTCAGAGGCTTTTATTGAGGTTTTGAAACGTCTTCCTTTGTACGGTGCAAGGTTGTTAGCCTTGCGACCAACCCCCAACCTGGAGGACCAGGGTACCTGTCTTAGTCTGACCTCTCCCCCTCAACCAATCTGGCTAGGGAGGCCCTACGAGTAGCTATGCTACCGCCAGCATAGCTCTTGGGGTCACTGAGGTACTCAAGCCCCACCACCACGACAAGGTGCAGGTACCATTAAGTGAGGTAATGCATTATTACTCTGGATTATATTGTTTTCTATAATGTTCAAAATTCAACTTTGTGCTTGAGGAAGAGATGTCATCTCATGTAGGTAGAATGGACAGTCTTGTGGCGAAGAATAGTATGGAATTGTAAACCTATAGAAATAACAGTAAGAAGATGAAATATCCGTGGGGAAAAGGATTTTGAGCAGTTACATTATTGATGTGAGACTACTGCTGGCAGCCTGAATCTTTAAACATTGGTTCATTGTTTCATGCCAGGCATACAGTATATTCCAGCATGAAGGCAAAGTGGCACATGTAGAAGTTTCTACTCTGAAAATTGCACCCAGAAAAATGAGGATACATTTGTAAATTGTTATTCTGATTTCTAAACCATGTAACTTAGTTCACTCTTTGCCCATACTGTAGGTTTGGCATCAACATATCCAGAACCAGAAGACAAGCGGGCCATAGTGGAAGCAGCGATGTACAACCACAATTATGACTGCCCGCTGCCTGCTGTATATCCATGGCCTGAGCTACCTACACTGAAAAATGCTAAGATTGGGAAGACTAGTAAGGCTAGAAGTATTGAAATTTAGACTAGTATTTACATGTTCCAGAACCGTGTGTTTCATCACCTGACTTTACCATCTGTTGCAGCAGTAAACGGGATATCTTGTTCACTCTATTAAAATATAGTCATGAAAAAATTTCAAAATTAAATTTCTGAAGAACTACGGTTGAAAGGCAGTAACATTCAGGATATTAGTCTTTATATCAAGATTTAAAGAAGCAAATGGAAACCTAGCATTTATATGGTAACAATAAGTTTTTGTGGTAAGGAGCAACGAAATTCTTATTGGCTTCTTACAGTCTTCATTATTTCAATATTAAATTTTCCTCCGTTTATTTTTATTATTTGTGGCTCCAGAATATTGTTGGGTGCAGGCTTCCTATTCTTATTGAATGGCAGAAATGGTAATATGAGGATGAAAGAAAATACGAGAAAGGACAATATATTGGAGATATGACAGGCATTTCTTTTTATCTTCACACCCTTACCGCTGATGGTATGCCCTTGATCATGTTTTTAATTAGAGTTCCATTTTTTTCCTTCAAAAATATTTATCCTCAGTCTTCTAGACTTATAACACTTGCAGAAGAAATGTTTCTATTATTGGCTGGGAATATATCCTTTTTAGTGATGTGTGTTTTCAAATGTACGTGATTCTTCTTCTTCTATGTGCTTGATATGTTGAGTTGATGTAATAATAATGTATTTCATTCGCAGTTGTTAAGTACAGTATCTGAGAAGATGGTACCACACATATTGAAATATCCTAGTAAATTATTCTACAGGCCTTACCTAAACTTGAGCCGTGGTAACAACACATACTGTATTCATTATTGAAGTATTATAGTCATCTGTTGAAATTTTATTGTAATGAGCATGTGCAGTGTTTGATGTGAGGTAATTGTACAGTATTATAAACAAGTCAAAATGTTTTTGTTGAGCTTTCTACAATTGTTAGAAGCATAGAAGGCTTTATGAAGATAATGGAATTATACTTCAGTATTATTGAATTTAGTCAGTGAATTTTTCTATTAATAAGGAAAGTTTATAGTCATTGCTTTATTAAAATAATATTTATGTTTTATTCTACACATATTTAGTTCCATTATTGTTTATTAATTTAAAAACATCAGTTTACTGACTGCAATTGAATAGAACAGGGTTTCAATAAGCAAATATTAATGATAGTTCTAGGTAATTAAAAATATGTAACAGCAACATTATAAAGTGAAAGATTTGGTGAACACTAAGAGTAATGTTGGCAATTGCTTGAATTATGAACTATGGTTTTTATTCAGTAAAAATCACATTTAGTCTTGTTGCATTTTTCAAAATGTGTAGATGCTTAAAATATAGGTTTAGTTTTCTTTCATGTAGTTGTTATATTTCATTGCTGCGCTTATTTTTGCATAACAGGAGTGCAATTTACAAATTTATACCTGAATTTGACATTCTGTAAAGTAATAATTAGAGTAAGCATTGCATACTGTTTTCAGTATAATTCTGTAGTGCTGCATCCCAGTGTGTATTCTTCAATGTTTATTCACAAACACTTAGATTATGTGTGTAAAAAAGTGATGAGTGAACAAACATCAAGTATTTCATTATAAATTTAATAGTATTCTATATTAATTTGTTAGGATTAGCAACTGAAGTATCAGATCATAACCTCTGCATTTGTTGTTGTCATGTATACTTATATTTTTATAACGTATGAAGTAGAAATTGAGTTGCTAGTCAAAAGATATATAGCAGTGGATAGTGACCACACACAGAACTGGCATTGATGTAGGTCATGTCACACGTCTCCTGTTTTTCACTGTGTCGTTTAAACCTGATCTGGCCCAGGAAATTTAATGACGTGTTATGAGTTGTTTAACTAAAATGTCATAAAAATAAGGTAATTTTATATGTAATTATGAAATAATTTTATTGGCCTTTGTTGTCTGAGCATACCACTAACCCAGGAGTTAAAAAGCCCATCTGGAAGCCACTTACTTTCGGGACTTAATACGCTTTTTGTGTGTGATGAAGGTTAATCATGAATAGTGTCAGATGGTAGGAATTGAGTTTTTCACAGTGGTGAGTCCAAAGATGGTTATCTTCTGGGTTGTCACTCCAGTAATTTCCCTGATCGTGGAGGCAACTAGAACCTCTGAAACGTTGGTAAACTTTTACAAGACTACATGGCACTACAACATACAAGACAGCTATCTTCAATGTTAAATATAGATGAATGTCCCTGATGTATGACCTTCGTTGTCTGAAGATGTGAAAAATTCTGAATAGGTATCTGATGTGTCACTTCTTGGCTGGTCAGATAAACAGGGAGACTGAAGAATCATGAGCAGTTAATTGTCTTAATTATTATTTTATAGAACACCTTAAGAATGTGTAAAGGGAGAGTATTATTATTATTGTAGGACACTGATGTTAAATTTCAAACTATGATGCCATATTTATTGTTATTCATGATCATCTCTTAAATTACTTTCTGAATATTTCAGTGAAGATCCTACCACAACTAGGATTCAGGTAATAACTGACTGTAATTTTATTATTATTAAGAAACTGGCTGTAGAGTTATTTATTGCTTGTTGAGAGTACAAATATGCACCAGTGAACATCTCATAAACTCACCAAGTTCTCTGTGTGATCATCTTATTGTAAACATCTTTGTTGTGCATGCAGTTGTGAAGAAACCCATTCCTCTCAATTTATGGAGAAAATAAAAGTATTCACTTTTTTAAATTGTACTTGTTCTATTCCCACTGCTTCCTTTTTCTGAAGTTCATGATGTGTGGTTGTTAATGAAACTTACTAAAAATGCTTGCGTATCTTCTTTTTCCACCCATGTCTGTAAGGAGGCTGTTTGAGTCATGAGAATAGAACTGATTGTTCAAGTACGTGGTATATATAATTACCAGAGAATCTTAGATGGTTAAAAGTGTTATCTCTTAGCCAGAGAACCTGTGTATGGTTAGACAGTGGAGTGGAGCACAGATGTTCCTTAGTAAATAAGTACTGGTATTGTCTTGTCTTTCATACATCTTATACATATGGAAATATGTGCATCAACACCATCCTCATGTCACAGGGCTTGTAAAGCTTCTATGGAAGACAGAATGGGGCACTTAATACTTCTACAAACATGCTGAAAGCAAGTCAGCAGAATCAAGTTAAAAAGTGCAAAGTCATTGTTATTTGTCCAAGACCATTGGTTGTAAGTACAAGATCACTGGTCCTTAATTTATAATAGTTATAAGGTACTAGGCCTAGATACAGTCATTTGTGCTCAGCCCCAGGTAGCTTAAGTACATCATTGGTCAGAACCAAAGGTAATTTGTTTAGGTTCAAGGTTAAAGGTGTGCTGTAAATCAAACACTGAATATTAAACCCTTCTTTAGGATAGTTACATATATCCCACTTTTGCTAGAATTTGTAATTATCATGTTTCTTGCACTGAAAATATTTCTGGACGGAATGAATAATTGCGTAAGTCATATTCAACTATATTTGTGATTGCATGTACATGTGTTAATCTTTTTTTAATTGGTGTGTATAAACTCGGTGAACGAACGCCTGGCATGATAGTGTGTGACTGTATGTCGTACTAATGTCGGACTATTTTCAAATAAATATGATCTTATACGTTACCCTGATAATGTAAATTTACTTGTCGAACAAGATTAGTAACAGTGTTATGGGAAGTACGGGAAAGTATTACATAACGATCAGCTGTGCTTGTGTTCCGTAACTTGCGCATGCGCAATGCCGACCCTGATACCGATCCTGTAGCACTATGGCGGAAGGTATAACACTGTATGCTAAGAACGAGAGAAGGCAACAGACATGTCTGAACAATATAGAGATCGGCTTGGTCAATGGACCTTCGACGAAGCAACGGGAGACAATGTGTGCCCAGCAACTATACGAGGTCTCGATCATTTGCGGAATCCGTGCCTCAACAAGGTAAATTCATTCAGCATGTTACGATATAGTGACAGTAAGGTGGAATACAACACTACAAGCGGCTTTCGTGGGCCTTAGCTTTAATGTTTGGGGGGGGGGAAGGATTATATGAGTTTGTGACAGCAACAACAGTAGTGTGCTGTTTAAAACCCTCTCTCTCCGAGAAGAAAACTTCCAAAATAAAGTAGAGGAACGACCAGTTACAATGTCAATGTTGATTGACAGTCAGTCACCCCTAGCTCTGAATAATATAAATGCGACGCAAAATAGAATCGCAGACATAGGTTTACAATCTCCGCGTACGTGTTTCAGGCAGCTGCAACTCGAATATCTGCATGATTCGTGTGGTTATTGACATTGTACAACAACAATAGTTGTGTCAAAATTTAATAATGATACTTATAAAGTGATCTGTATATAAAACCTAGTACTGTCAAGATGGTGAAAATTAGGAGACTACGTGGATTGTACATGTAACTCAGACGAAGGAGACAAGGAATTCATACAGACTTTTGGTGGGAGCTGCACCAATTCATATTATCCTCCCATCTATATCCAGGTCTTGCTATTTGACGTTCCCTTCAGATATACCGACCAAAACTTATGCATTTCTCATCTGCTCTTGTATGCTATTTGCCGCAAGCACCTCATCCCTCTTTTTTGCAAAACTTTTAAGAGATTAGTGAACACAATCGAAGCGTCTAGCTGTCCACTCACTTTCAATTAAAATGGGTTTTATGGAATCAGGTGGGGATGGATCGAATATGGTAATGGTATTGGCTTATCATGTCCAAAGGTGAACTTTGTTGTAAGCAGTGTCGAATAATCGTGTTCTATTACAGAGTTATAACCTTGATAACATCAATAATAATTGTGTACAATCACAGAAGTTGATGTCATAACAGAACAGTGATAATTTCGGCTACATCATGATTCCGCGATAAACAACAATGTGACGTATGAAGGCACGTGGGGGCGGGGGAGTAGAGATAAAGAAGTTTCATGCATATTATGATCTGCAGGAAAATGAGTAAGCAACTTCACGATCCTGGCTCCTTTATACCGGAGAAGGAAATTCCAGTATTATGAACCGAACAAACGAAGATGATTGCATTTTGAGTTGCAGCGCCGGGAAGTCTGTTAGACGTTTACTGACGTTTCAGAGGTGCTTGTTGACTTCATCAGCAGGGCGATGAGTCACCGGGCTACCAAGGTCTTGCTTGTCCCTTATTTTACTCACATCTTTCTTCTGTCTTTCGCAGATCACCATAAATGTGCTATGTGGCATCGTATTTTGCCACCTTTTTTGTTTTGCCTAACACAGTGCGAAACTACTTCCAATTATTCTAACAAAGTAATCATGACGAAGCGCTATTTCGCTGTCGTAATAATTTAACATGATAAACGCACGGGAATTCCTGTAGGTCACACAAATATTACAGAAGAGGCACCTTGGAAAACGTTTGAAATATTCGTTACTCACTATACTTCTTTATAAAAAAAATGATAAAAGTTGCTACGTTTAATCTAGACATCAGCCGAAAAATGCGGGTGCTGTGGGGGTGGGACGGATTATAAAATTGCGACTGTAAAATCTGTAATTTCGAAATGTCTTACATCATTTCGCCTCATATGAACACTGTTAGTTTTTCATGAGTTCGCAGAATAATCTGTATGTCATACCCTCAGCAGAGAGTATCAACCAGTACGTCTGTTAGGTACGACTCAGGGCCCGGCAAACCTCCGCTCGGAATTGACTCTTTTTTTAGGCCTTTGAGCAGGATTTTCAAGCACCAATTTCTCTCCCGCGGCTTACAAGTGCATTACATGGACGGCAGAAGTATTCAATCTCGACTTTTGTGCAGACTTCGGCTCTAAATTTAAACCAGCAGCTGCTGCAATGAATGTTCAAAGACGTGAATCTAAAATGCGGTCTAGAAACTCATGTCTGGGGTGTACAGAAGTCGTTAAGATGTAGCAATTATGAAAGATAAAAGCATTCGAAGTCGCGAATTCAGGTGATAAATGAACTAAGATGAGAATATAGAAACTGTTTTAAAACTATTTCCGATATTTATCTATAAAGAGGCGTGTAATGTGTGTTAACAATTATATTTAAATTCTTCTGAGATTGTGGATTGAATATAATTCATTTTAGTAACATTTTTAAAAACAGTGGTCATCCACCTAAATCTTTGCTTAGATTTTGAAGAGGATTTAAGGACGATCACTTTCTTTGCCAGCTTTTAACACAAAGTACCGCCACGGTGGTCTAGCGGTTAGAACGCTGGGCTTGTAATACTGGGTTCCCGGGTTCGATTTCCGGCGGTGCTCAGATTTATAACTTGTGTTGGGCAAGGCCGTGGTCCAGGCATCACGGAGCTTTCCTCCGGGGTTTCCCCGGTTTCTCCGTGACATCCCAACAATTACAACACTTTCATCATCATCTCGCAAAAAAGGTGGTCACAGCAGGAGCGTTAAATGTCGCGGTCCCGATCGAACCCATGTACTGATGGGTCGTGAATCCTGCTGACCACCAATGCACACCATGCTGAATGGTGTGTACTGGATACGGGAAAAACACAAGTGATAAAAGACCTGTGAGAAGAGAACATTCATGAAACAAATCAAATTAAAGAATGAATCTGTAGGATTTAATTACTTATTGTTTTGCTGCAGATTATCAGTCATCGGAGTTAAATGACTTTGATATATGAGACCTTGTGGTTAAATAACTGTTGTAGTCTGGTAAGATCTGGTGTTAGCCAGAACTGCTATGTATATCTTGCTGTATTGAACCTCTAAATAAAGTCGTCAGCCGTAAAGATGGAGACAGTATGTTTCTTCGAAACTTTGGTAGTCTACTTGACGCCAAAACCCAGAATCTCAGATCTTACAAGTCTATTTGCTTGTTACCTTGAATTTGCCAATAAGTTTTACAGTTTAATCCACACACACACAGAGAAGTATACATTTTGAGTTTGACATGAACAATTACTGTTACCGAAAGCGGTAATTTTTTAATGTTAAGAAAAATGACGTCTGTAAAATTTGTAATTTAGAAGTCAGAATCATCTTAGATGTACGGCGAATTCGTTCTTGGTGCTGGCGTCTGCGAATTCCGATGTCTTTAGATTAATACATTTCCTGTAGCTTTCAATTATGTGTTTCCTTCTGCAGGTTCGAAAGAACTTTTCCTTCAGCTCTCGTTAGAACGTCTTCCTGCCATGCTTTGCGTTTAACCGCAGGAAATTATTTTTGTAATGCGTTTTCCACACCGAAGCGGAATTGTCTCCTCCAGTCTGTAGCCTGGGTATCATTTTGGTAGACAGTGAATTACATAATCTCCCATTCCGTTTGTTTCTGAATGATACGAAAATGGCGTTACGTGAAAGTTGATTACGGAGTTGAATGTTAAGGGACAATGACGGAGCGCCTGCACAGTGACCTATTATTTGTTTCTCAGGAGAAAAGCTTTGACCTTGACCTTGCGGATGGACTTTTGGGGCGAAAACACTGACCTTGTTAAAAATATAAGGCTCTAACTGCAGCTGTTTGGAATACATCGATTTGTAGCCACAGATTTATCCCCACAAGACTTCCGCGTGGGTCTGCACTGCTAAGATCAAAGCTACTCTCCTGAGTTATGAAGGTCAAGATATCCTTTTTGACTGAACAGATCGAAAACAACCGAACATCGTAGTTGAGTGGCTAGCTCTCCTGTTTCGTATTCTGGAGGTCCCGGATTAAAATCTCCGCTCATTCTTCGTAATGTGCTTCTCGTCAACCATTTTTCGAATAGGCGGCCTCTGCCATTTGGCACAACGCTCGTTTCAACTACCGATTCACAGTTTCTATTTGTTGAATCGCATCCACGACGCTAATCATTTTCTGCGGACATTAGCCCCCGTTTGAAAACGCACTAGTGCTCTGTTAGCAGACCGTGATGCCAACACAACAACGTTCTGCATTTTTTCACATCGTTAAATTAAAACGTGACCAAAACACTCTGAGTGAGATTTAAGGTTTTCACCGCTGCGGAAATGAAGATGACTGTCTTCTGGGTTATCAGAACAATCGCCCGGGTGATGGAGCCAGAATGCTTCTCACTATTCAAATACATAACTACATTGTGTCGACTGAAAACTTTGAACACACTCTACAAGGACGAAGTGGTTATAATGGGGAGGGGTCACAGTTCAAAGACCTGTATATGCATTAATGATGTGAAATGAAGAATAATCAATTCTTGCCCTTCTTCCCTGTGGCGGTACGGTTGCATGTCGAGGATCTCAGCTATCGATTGTAACAGGCGGGTGCTGGAACGGACGACCTCATACTTCCTCCAACTTTAGATTTACTTGACTGCGAGCTCCGCCAGACGTTAGATCAAAATGTTTCGACGGACACCGCCTTCCGTGGTCAGTCCCATCCGCTAGCGGGAGATGCGTTTCACCATGGACTATCCTGAGGGAGAATGGTGGGAACTTGTTGTTATTAAACCACCTTGCCCTATAACGGATAATCTGGCATCTTCGGATGGACGGGTAACACTTTAGCAGGCTCTTGTTCAGAGTTCTTATTAATTCACTGAATATTGCACTCTCGCACTGTTTTTCAGGTCAGTCAAAAATTTACTTACTGTAATTTAGTAGCTCGTAGTGAAAATGGCATATATTAATAAGTGAAGTAATGCATGTCAAAAATGAAACCGTAACTGCTCCTCCCCTACATATCAGATTAAAAGTAAGTACTTACGTATTAATGAGTGACTCAAACAATTCTGTATGCCACTTACGTTCTTGAAGATGATGGCCGTATGGCATATTGCACCGAGTAGTCTCGTAGTCTACCGACGTTTCAGGTCGATTGTTTTGATAATGGGGGGAGTAAATACTTTAAGCTCAAGTAAGTATTCAAAAGTATTCAAAATGGGAACACCAGTAAATATTACTTCACATTT